AATATTTACTTGGTGCTTCCTTTTTATTTCACTGTCTTCCTTTTCCTCATAAAACAAAAAAACAAAAGGTTTGCAGGGAGACAGTAGGTACAATAGGTTGGAACCTTGAATATTTTGAAAAATCCAAATTCTGAGGCTTGTGTCCTTTGTTGTCAAATTGTGGCCAATTCCCTTCCACCATTAGCAGACCCGTTTTTTGGATATATGGTGCTCTGCCCTTGGATAACCTAATGGTGTAGTTAGTTTGTGAATGGTGTGGGGTGACCAACTATCCCACTTTTAGTGCTGAAAGTCCCCAGTCGCAGGAAAACCTTGGTTCCGAGCAAACAGGACAGATCCTACGTAAAAATGGGATTTGACAGTTTGTAGCAGTTGAAGGAGGAAACCACTTAGAGATGAGAGAGTGGATGTAGCAAAAAGTGCTTTGGAGTGTTATATGTCTGGGTTTGAATCCTAGCTCCATCACCTTAGGTAGATCATTTCATCTCTGATCCTGTGGCGACTTCCTTGAAAGCAGGAGTGTTTTCTGTTAGAGCCAGGCACTTATCTTCTGTCTTACATTTATCAGCCCCTTCATATGTTTACTCAACAAAAGTTGAGAGCAGGAGGATTGTGTGCCAGAACAGAAGCTGAGTACTGGAGATACAAACTGAAGGCTCCTGCCCTCCCTGAGCTCAGCTTCGCTCCATCTGTGTTATTGCAGCCGTAGTGGAGGCTTTTCAGTAGCATTCCTCTAGGACTTTTCTGTCTGAGTAGTCCATATTCATTACTCTTATCATTTGAGAGCCACCTCTCTTTCTAGGAGATAGTAAATTAAGTTCCCTGTAGGATAGCCTTTTGGACTAACAATCAGATCTCTCTTGACCCTTCAGATTTTGAAATCTGCTATTCCCACTCTCTTTGAGTCTTATTTTCCTTATTTGGAGTTCCAGCTCTGTGCCTTACTAGGAGTACAACCATGAGTAAGTAACTTAACTTCTTTGGGCCTTAGATTATTGTGAAATAGGGATAATAATGATTCCCACCTTATGAGTTGTTAGGAAAATTAAATGAAATCATTCCTATTAGCATTTAACACAGTGTCTGCCACACAGTAAATAATAAATGGAAGGAATAAAATGATTCCATTCTCTTCATGTTTTGGAGAATGTTGGAAACCAGCTCCTCTCCACCCTTTGCCCAGACTCTGAGCATATCAGAAGGAAGAGCCACCTCTCATTGTATTAATCTTTGTGTCCTGCCTGGTAAATAGTAGGTGCTAATAGTGTTGGTTTATGACCTTATGATGGTGGTGGTGATGACTGTATGAACTATCTACCAGGACTAATAAGGGTAAAATAACAAAATGTGTGTGAAAGCACATTTTTGTAAATGGAAAAGGATAACACTTTGTATGTTCCTCCACTAAGGTATTATAGTGCACTGTTCGTTATTTGTTCATATCTTTCTCTCTCACTATTACATACACGACATACACTTTTCCAAAGCAGAGACTACATCTTATCTCTGAATCCCACTCCAACACCTGTATGATGTCCTACACAAAGTAGACACTCAGGTAGTTTAATTGAATGCAAATGGCATACAAAAGTAAGGATTTGTGAAACTATTTTTAGGGGAGGAAAAGAGCAAATTTATTTGGTAATACAAACGGGTTCTTCTTTCCTTCCGGGTGCTACCTTTGCGCAAGCACTCACCTGTTCCTGAAAAAAACCCATCTTCTTAGGGGAATGATGAAATTGGGTGAGGGAAAAGGAGACAGGCAGCAAGGGTTCTTCTTTCCTTCCGGGTGCTACCTTTGCGCAAGCACTCACCTGTTCCTGAAAAAACCCATCTTCTTAGGGGAATGATGAAATTGGGTGAGGGAAAAGGAGACAGGCAGCAATAGCAGTTTCATTATCTGAGCAACTGGACCTAGAAGCTGGCACTTGGGCACATCTTCACAAATCCTTGGGTTGGAATCGATGCCATTGAGCTGTAGTGTTGGGATTGCATCTCTGATCATTATCAGCTAAAAACTGTTGAGGAAGTGTTTGGCATGCCCCAGGTACACTGGCTGCAGAGTTGTGACAATTTAGTGCAGATTGGGGCTTCCCTCCTATGACTGGGCTGTTAGGGCCAGTGTTTTGAGGTTCTGGGCTTGCTGGGCAATATGGGAAGTTAAGATGTTCCTAAATGAGGTCCTTTCTGCTCTGGTTCTTCAGAGGGTCTTCTATCCTCAGTGGCTCAAAAGAATATGTCAGTATGCAGGCTATTGTTACAATAGCTCCTGATGCTACTGAGGAAGGTCCCTACAAAGTCAGGTTTTGAGGTTGGCCCTTGGAAGTCCCTCTTCTTGGTCTTGGGGAGAAGGCTGATGGGCTAGCAACATAGAGAGGTACATTTATGATAGGACCAATCTGATGTGTACTGGGCCTTGGGTCCTTGGCCCCCAGGCATTTCAGGGGTCTACCCCTTTCGTTGCGTGGAGCTGAGGCTGGCTTGATCTTCCTCTCTGGGAGGGTAGCACTGAGTTCGAACACTTAGGTTTGGCTCCATTTCCCTATGAGGAAGCCAGTAGCTAGAAAGTTTGAATACTGAGCTACAGTGGGGAAACCCAAAGACCAAGTTTTCAGGGTCTGCTGTGGATGCTGACTTCGTGCTGGTTAGAGCAGGAGCTGAAGCGTGTACTATTTTATAATAAATACTAATGAAATTCTAGATCTATAATAGCATTTCAGATATCTGAAACAAACCATGTGCTTGTAAAAAAGTGGAAAGAGATCAACTTTAAGCCATAAATTCTTGGTAATAGAGGGTTTTTTCTATTTATGTTTGATAGATATTTTTGTTTCCAGAGGAATGTCAACTCCTAATTTCATAATGTATCATGGGCTTAAGAAAATTGAATTTAATAAAAGCCGAAGATGAATAGCATCCTTAAAGGTCCCAACACTTGTCTTTATTAGCAGGACAAACTGCAGGTCTCCAAATACTGCTTCTTTCCAAATGAAAGTTTAAATGAAAAGTACAGTTGTGTCACAGGTTAAATTTCATTGTGGGTCCAGCTAACATTGTTAGTGAGGAGCTGGCTGTATTTGTTTCCTTAGACACCAGGGCAGCCAAACTCACCAGGCCATGGAGCTCTTTCTGTGGGGGAGTGTTTCTTCTACTTAGTGGAAGTGGAAGGATATATCAGAAATTTAGGAGTCAGATGAGCTACACCTCAGAGCTGGCTCTTGGAAATCTTGGATATCTGATTTTTCAAGGGGACGAACGCACAGTGTGTGTGTTCAATTTCGATTTTAGGGCAAAACTCCCCTCTGCTTGGTCTACGTTGTAATACTTTGTGGGGAACAAAAGGCCCAGGGAATTGGGAGGATAGGTATCACCTAGACCAAGCAGCAGCCTGGGCCTCTTCTCCATCTCCCCTCTGCCTCAGCCTTGGCACCATTTTGCCCTTCCTTTCTGGGAGCAAGCTCCCGTCAGCTTCACCATCTTTGGGTATAAGCCTAGGGAGACCAGGCAACCAGAATCTTTGTATTTCTCTGGCATGAAATCTGACTGCCTTGTTTTGGTTTTCAGTCCTGCTGTTATGTGTTGGGCTGAAATAGATGCTTTAGAAACAAGCCCAATATTAGTGAGTGTTTTGAGGGGAGGACACATGCCTTCCCTGAGACATCAAGGAGATTGACTGTTTCTCTTGCTGTTTTCCTACCCATTCATTTCCCAAGTTCAGTCAGATGTCTTCAGCTTCTGTGTTGCTTCTCCAAGCTGTCTCTGGAGAGAACCAATTTGCCTTGATTTTAGTAATACTGGAACGGTCCTCCAGAACGGGGAACTTGGGGTGGGGATGCCACTGGAGCTGCCTATTGGGGCCACTGAGTGGGCAAAGCCCCATTTCTCTCTCTGCAGTGGAGGCCCTTTCCACATGCTAATTTTACTCGGAGAATTTTGCTTTTATTTATTTTTTTATTATTTCCTATTTGTCTCTTCCAGATGTTTTCAGGGCAGTTTTTTTGCGTTGTAAACTAATTCCATTCATGTTTTAAAAATTTATGAAAGCGCTAATAAAAATGTCAAAGTGGTAAAAATGTTAGCTTTTCCTCTGCTTTGATTAAATTTTGCAAACTGTTTTTGAATATTAAAAAGCAATAATTTTTTTTATTCTCTCTCCTTGCTTTCCCCCTTCTCTCTGGTGTGTGTGCTCTCTCCTGCTCTCTCCCCCCTCTGGTGCATTCCTCCCTTCCCAGGAGCGATGTATGAGGCGTGCTGCACAGCCAGCGTTCTGCAAGCCTGTTTGCACACCAGGACCTTGGTGCTGTGCATCTCTATTAAATAACGGAGACAAATTAATCTTAGAGACACCAAACAAATTGTCACTCCTCCTCTTTCTCTTCCATTACATTCCAGTGGACTAGGAAGGGCTGGCTAAGCGATTAGGTGGAGGTTGGGGGGGCTGGACGGGGGAGGGTATACTGCCTGAAAGAAAGGTGGGAGGCACTAGCTCCTATTACCCTTTTTCTGTTTTCTCCTTCTCTTTAGTATCCTCTTTGGCTTTATTTATTATCTTTTTTTTTCTTTTTTAATAAAAACTAATGAAGAAACTCACTGTCTCTGCTTAAACTTCATACAAGGAAATCTATTAATTAGTCTGATGGTTGTAGATCAAGACCTATTCCAGGACAGGAACTTTGGCAAAGGGAAAGAAGAGCCTACTCTTAGGGGCTCAAATGAGCAGGCCTCTGCGAGAGAACCAGTTGGGGAAACTGGGGCAGATTATACCACTGCCTTCCTTTCCTTTTCCAGAAACAGTGAGGATGAGGGGTGTGTCTGGTCCCTGGAACCTGTGAAGGTATTAGTAGTGGGAGGTTAGGATTGTAATTAGGCTAGAACCATCTTACTCAGTCTTGGGTTTGGAACTAATGAGCCCAAAACACTCTTTCTTGACTTCGAGTTATTGTTTGAGATGATTGGTTAAGATAACTTATTCTTCCTTTTCTGTGTCTTTGGCACTCCAGGAAATCATCGAGTTCCCCATCCTGAAGCTAAATGGCCGGACCATGGAGATTGAATCTACCTTTCACATGTATGTCCAGCCCGTAGTCCATCCACAGCTTACCCCCTTCTGTACAGAGGTAAGGGCCCTGGAGGTGGTCAGCAAGGGCTGCTGGGAGAGGAGCTTTGGGATCATTGGTGCTCTGTACAGGACACTCAGGGAAAGCTTAATCTATCAGTGGTTAAGGCAAGTACACATTGGACCTACCAGTTGGCTTTTTATAGTTTGTCACTCTACTTGGGTCACTATGGTCATTGGGGACCCAAGGAGAGCAGTGGTACAATCTGCCCCAAATTCCCCAACATTTCCCTTCCTTGTCATCCCCACCCTTCTTGGTGACTATGCACTTGGAGTCCCAGAGCAGGATGGTGCTTCTGGGGCTCAGGTTCTTTCCAGTCCCATTTCCCTTAGGGCCTCTTAGCAAGAGGTGAAGATTTCAGCCTCTTCAAAGGAAAGATTATGTTTAGGCTTTCTTAGCTTTCTGGCATTGTTACTCTGATCTGCCATAAAGTGGCCCTGTGTGAAGTGTAGGTTGAGTTTGTGGGTAGCACATTCTGTCACCAAGGAAAGAGAAGGGCAGTTTGAGTGGAGTATGAGGGCAGGCTGGCCAAGGCTGAAATGCCATTATGCTAGACTGGTACTGTACTCGGCCACTTGTCAGCAGGTTAGTATTGACCCCATTTTACAGAATGTGAAACTGGGGCTAACTGAGATTTTGATGCTTGCTGGAGGCTCAAAAGAGTCACTGGCAGAGGGAAGGAGCTCTTGAGAGTTCTAACTCCTAGGACTGTGTGGAGAAGCCTTCTGTGGCTGCTTTCCCTTGTGACGTGTCATGTTATGCATTCTGTGGTGGCCAACAGGCTGTGCTGGAATCACGGGTCAAGAATGTTTGGAGCAGAAGTGATGGGAAAACATGGGAGTTTCTGGAAGTTTTTAAATTTGGGGCTAAGGTACATTAGAAACTTTGTGCCTTCATTTAGAGACCCACCTTCTACATGTGAATGAAAGAAGTTTTTGAGTAATCTCAAAACAATCTCCCTAGAGTGGAGGAGGCTGGGGAAGGGCCTGCCTGACACTGGTAGGAGTGCTCAGTGGGCTCTGAGGCTGCCTTAGCCCAGATACAAGGTCTCAAGGGTTGCTCCTGGACTTGATGCCAGTGTATGCCACCTGACCCAGGTGGGCCTTTTGTTGCAGACATCCATCTGCTAAGGTGTCTAGTCTCTTAAGCCTTTTGTTGTTCCAACTAATGATGTTGAAGTTCTTGTTCTTTCTTTCATAGCCTGGTTTTTTCCCTTCTCCCTGGGAATTACCTATACCACTAGGGGGTGCTAATCTGTCCTTTCTGCCTTTTGAAAAATCACTATTTTAATGATGATGAAAATCCCCTTTCTTATAGGAAGGGAAAGAAAGACTTCCTTCTCTTAAACCAGCCAGTAACCTGAGCCCTTCACTGGCCCAAAAGTCTAGTGTCCTCTTGTCCTTCTCTTCCTCCTCTCTGTGTGTGGCCTGCCCCTTGGGGGCTCCGGGTCTGTGAGGCTAGGCTGCCTGGCATAGACAGGTGGGCCCAAATTTTGGAAAATTTGCTATCTGTTTAGGAATGGAACAGAGTGCTCATAGAGCCCAACCCTGGGCGGGAGTGGATGCTCGTGAATATTGGGAAAAGAGGGATTTTTTCCAGAATAGGGCTGCTGCTGCTTTGAGGGGAGAGGTGAGGAGGGATTGTGAGACTGTGATGTATGTGGTTTTTTTTTTTTAATCTAGAAAGTTCCACCCAAGGACATACATACATAATTTGGAGAGCAGTAGGAGTGGTGGTTGGGATCCTTGTTATGAAGCCTGTTCTGAAGGTGAAAATGTGGTTGTGCTGCTGTCACTGGGTCTGCCATTTTGTCTCAGGCTTCCAGAACTCAAAATTCTCCCTGTCCTGGGCCCTACTTTTTTGTCCAACTTCATATCTCCCTGCTTAATCTCCCACCTAGTTCCCCTCACCCAAAGGTTGCGCTCTCACAGTCTGTCTTTGCACATGATGGTCCCTCTGCCTATAAGCTGCTTCCACCATACTTTCCCTAACTCCTTGTCTTCCAGAACTCCACTCAGGATCACCTTTCCTAGGAAGCCTTTCCTGATCCCCAGGCTGCGTTGTGCTTACCCCAACAGAGCATTGATCAGATACATTATAATTATTTACCTGTCTTTCCGTTAGACTGTGTGTTCCTTGAGGGCAGAAACTAGACCTGATCCATCTCTGTCCCATCACTAGGGTCTTGTACCAAATAAACATTTGATATGTGTTTCTTAAATGAATGACTATTGTCAAGGAGTTACTTCTGACTCCCCCAAACAACTGTACTGCTGACTTGCCCTTTTGAGTAAGTAAAGTCTTGTTTGGAAAACTTCAGATCATCTAAATATTGCCCTGTCTCCATACCAGATGGAATTATATTGCAGAGAAAAGCAAGGACATAGGATGGGGGCCATCATTCCGAGACCTCATCCAACCTGGCAGTAGCTGCCTTTGGGGGTAGAGGTGGAGGTCATCTAACCAGAGAGAATCTTTCGTTAGTAAGTGTGAGACACAGCCCCAAACCTCCAGATTGTATCTAAGCAGCTCCTCTGATAAGAGTTTCTCTCTTGTTCACAAGAAATTCTTAAGAACCCTAGCCTGTGTATGTATGTGTATATGCATGTGCACATGACACGTGTACACATGTGAGCGCGTGCTTGGTGTGAGGAGAGAGGCTCAGTACTAGACAGCGGGAAAAAGGATTCTGCTTTGAGTGAGTCTTTAGCTCACATTCAGACATTCCTACTTTTACCGTTCTGAGTAACGGACATGTTATTAGCCTTCTTGAGGTCCTTTCTTAGTTCCAGTGGATAATCTTTTTGTTGGGCCGGCCTGGTGGCACACTGCTACAGTGCACCGCTTGGGAGTGCGGTGGCGCTCCCGCTGAGGGTTTGGATCCCACGTACAGACCGGGTCCCGCTCACTGGCTGAGCGAGGTGCGGGAGCAACACCGAGGGTTGCGATCCCGTTGCCGGTCCCAGTCCGGTACGGGCACGACACTGAGGGTTGCGATCTGTTGCTGGACACGAAAAAAGGGGAAAAAAAAAAAAAAAGTCTTTTTGTAGATATGATTCTAACAGGGCTAGGATGGGACGTGTTTCGGGGAAAAAAAAAAAAAAGTCTTTTTGTAGATATGATTCTAACAGGGCTAGGATGGGACGTGTTTCCTTCCTTCCCAAGCCCTTTCCCTACAACCTCTAGAATCTGCTCCAGCTCATCAGATCCCTATCGCTAGCAGCTGGGCTGCTGCACAGTCCCTGACCATGTGCAGTCTTTTGTTGTTGTTGTTGTAAAAAAAACTAGAAAAATACCCATTTTGCTAAATGCCAGTAAAGGGCTTTGTCTTGCACCTGTACTTATAAAGGGTGAGATTTATTGGTCTCTTTGTCTGAGTAGAAGGAGTGGATCTGATTATCAGATTGCACACCAGAGACAAGTGCTTATGTAATCAACAAACTGTCTTGGTGTCAGAATACGATTGTGTTGGAGATAAACTGTGAAAGGAGAAAGCGCTAGATGCTGACATGCTATTGGCACTGAGTTTCCTGGGCTGCTTCCTGTAGTTGCTAGTGTTTATGATGAAGCCAGCTTGTTCCTGGACAAAGCCCTTGTGTGGGTAGGGGATCTCAGTAACCAGCCATGTTATCAGTCAGGGTCAAAAGCCCCTTGCCTTGTGGTTTCTGAGTCTGGAGAAGTGGGAGTTAATCTGTAATCCCTCAGTGAAAGGAGCCACAGAGCACACATTAATTCTTCCCCTCACCTCTCCTGCTTTAAGTGGTTAAGGTCTCTGAGCTCTGTTTAGCCTGTGAGCCCTGGTTCTCAGCTTAATAATACTTGGCTTTGCTCTGGTAACTTTCATTGTGAGGATGTGAAAGCTTTTTTCAAACATATATTAACCTAAGTGGAAATGGGCTTAAACTGCAGCATGAATGATTTAAGTTAGGCCTTAGATAGAACTTCCCAGTATTAATTTTATAAAATTGTCTGTCTCCATCACAGCTGCTTATATAAGTCTTAGGTATCTTACAAGTTGTCAGTATGAGGTACAAGGACTATCTTAATTTTATCCTCTCTTCATCCAGTGCCTTGGCAGAGCTGATAAGTGTTGGTTTATCCTTGGAGGGATTAATAAAGGGGTGTAAGGCCTTCCCCTAGAAGGCTGTGTCTAGTTGAACCAACAGCTCAAGCCCCTTTGTCTCTGGGGGTTGAGTTCAAATCATTTAGGAACTCATCTGAGCCATGTCTTGCTGGGCCACAAGTAAAAATACCTGTTTTGTGGGGAGCATGGAGAGAAAGGGAGCCACCTCACTAGGCTCCTCCCTTGTTGATGATTCTAGGATTGCTGAGCGCTGGAATGGAGTTTTGAAAGCCTCAAGATGCTGGTGCCCCACCCGCCAGACTCCAGGGTGTGAAGAAGCCTGCCTAGTCTGTAGTAGGGTCCTGCTGCAGGACACCTGAACAGCACTGTGGTTTTCCTTTTTGGTATAGCGATTTTCTTGCCCCACATTAGTGATTTTCCTGGGGCCCAAGGCAGGTCCTTGTGGGTTACATGGTGCTGACCTAGGCCCTGTCTTCGAGGAGAGATGGTTCTTGGCAAGGGTGCATTGGTTTCCTGTGTGAATGAGACTTTCTTGAAGTCCTTCAGTGTTCAGCTCATCTGAATGACTGGTGGCAGCCAAGAGAAGGAGTGGACCTAACCTTGTCCCAGGAAGTGCAGACCAGACACACAAGACTGACATTTGGACCCTGGAGCTTTCTAAGAAGTGTGAGTGGCTATGGGCCTCTCTTTCTAGGATAGTCCTGACCCTAAGCCACAGCTCCAAAACTGAAGACGTGTCTCACCCTGAAAGAACTTAGTAAGAGAGAAGCTGGGCCAGAATGGGCAGCAGTGGGTGCATAGGTGTCAGTCAGTAATCTGGAGGAGAGAAGCTGGGCCAGAATGGGTAGCAGTGGGTGCATAGGTGTCAGTCAGTAATCTGGATGTTGGACCTGGAGTTGGACTCAAGCCTACTTCTGAATCTGTTTGGCCTTTACATGCCTGAGACAAAACACAGGGCAACTGCCTGCTCAGGTTGTGGCTCTGGATGGTGTACNCATTGGTTTCCTGTGTGAATGAGACTTTCTTGAAGTCCTTCAGTGTTCAGCTCATCTGAATGACTGGTGGCAGCCAAGAGAAGGAGTGGACCTAACCTTGTCCCAGGAAGTGCAGACCAGACACACAAGACTGACATTTGGACCCTGGAGCTTTCTAAGAAGTGTGAGTGGCTATGGGCCTCTCTTTCTAGGATAGTCCTGACCCTAAGCCACAGCTCCAAAACTGAAGACGTGTCTCACCCTGAAAGAACTTAGTAGGAGAGAAGCTGGGCCAGAATGGGTAGCAGTGGGTGCATAGGTGTCAGTCAGTAATCTGGATGTTGGACCTGGAGTTGGACTCAAGCCTACTTCTGAATCTGTTTGGCCTTTACATGCCTGAGACAAAACACAGGGCAACTGCCTGCTCAGGTTGTGGCTCTGGATGGTGTACAGGCCCTGGATACTAGCTGGGGCTTGGATGTAAGAAGGGAGCTACCAAGAAGAATGCAGATTTCATGAGGGCAGGGTTTTTAAGTTTTTCTTCACTGCTGGATCCCTAGTTCCTAGAATGGGGCCCAGCACTTAGTAGGCTGTCCACAAATAGTTGCTAATGAAACAAAAGTAGTCCTGTGCACTCCAAGATTAAAGCTGCTGACCCAGGGTACTTCCCCATCCCCATTCCCCCAGCCCTCAGCGGGCCATGTTTTCTTCTCCTTGACTCAGGCCCTCCCTCTGCTGGGCAGTTGTTTGGTCTCCCAAGCAAGGAAAGGGTCTGGAGGTGCCAGCCGGGTGGGCATGCTGTGGGTTAAAGCCTTGCAAAACAACAGTGTAGTTAATCTTTCTAATTTATTTTCCTTTTAGACCATGGGAAGTCTGTAGGCAGCAGCTGTTACCCAATTAAAATACAGATTAATATAAAAACAGTTTCTGGAATATAAAATAGAGTGGCTGTGTCCTTACACTTCCTTAAAATACCACCTAATAATGACTTGATGAACTACAGAAACCCACCTAGAGGAACTCAGCATTCTTAAAATGAAAATTTCTTCCCCGAAAGGTGTGTATTACCATTCCATGTAAGTCGCTATGAGAAAATAACCTTCCCTCTTATAGCCAGCAGTTTCTGTGAGTTGGGTATTTGGTATTCATTAAATGTAATTATAGTTTAGTTGAAGTTTAATCCTCAATCCCCCCGAACCCCCCAAAAAAGAAGTTTCCAAGCAAGTCTGAGATACTACTCTTTCTGAAAGTAACCAGGGGCATGTTGGGCATGGTGATTTCCAGATGGTGTCCAGGACATGGGTCCTCATAACTCAGATCCTCATAGGCAGTCTATCCCTACTCCATACTTAAGGGATATTTTTACTTCAAAACAAAGCAAAACAACAAGCTTGTTTCACAACCTAGGCCTGACCTAGGTGGAGCACAGGCCTGTGAGACAAATTCTCTAGGCTAGATTCTGTACATTAGGACTTTTTGTCTTAGTTTTTCCATTGGTTAAAGGTGACTGTTTCCTGTTTGGCTAGTTGGTATTGAGGACCCGGGTATGTAGGGTAAAGGGCAAATGCCATGGGGCTTCACTGATGTTAGGGAGGGTGTGGCAGAGGAAATGCTTGGTATCAGGGCACAGAGAGGGGTGGACTTGAAACCAAGTGCACCTGTCCTGTATGAGCACTCCCCAATTTTACAGGAACTTCTGTGAAGCTTGGAGTTGAATTTACTTTAGACTGCAATTTGTGGGAAATTATTGAGACTATTGGATACAAAAAACATGTGAAATAAAATTTTTTGCAAAATGGAAGCTGAAACAGGTATGAGACATACTCTGTGGTCAGCATGTGTATGTGTACCTCTGTCTCGGGGCAGCATTTTGTGGGGGAAGCTCACATTATGTTCTGGGACTTTATTTCTAAGGCTTCCAGTGGGTTCTGGACCTAAAGCAGTACCAGGTCAGAGCCCTTTACAGTAGGAGAAAAACAGAAAGGAAAGGATCCAGTTCAGCTTGGGTCCCTGTGCCTTGGTTTTCTACCCACAGGTTATTTCTCTTTCCTTTCAGCTCACCGGGATTATTCAAGCCATGGTGGATGGTCAGCCAAGCCTGCAGCAAGTGCTGGAGGTAGGTTGAGTGACCTTTAATTCCTAACCTCTAGCCCTTTTCTGCTGCCTTTCTCTCCCTCCCCTCCTGAGAATGTAGCCGTGTAATTTGACTATGATTATGGCTTGATTAGAATAACATTTGCTGTCACATCAGTGACATGCTGTTGAGAGTATTGAACCATTGATCTGTCATCTCCAGCTGTTCCCGTCAGGGTTACTGACAAGATGTCCGAATTCTGCCAGGAGTCAGGCAGAGGGGCCCCCACTCCTTCCTGGCCCATGGCCCTGTGCTGGCCGCCTCTGGGGCAGCCTGCGCAGGTGGGTGAGGGAGTGGGGGAGCTGAGCTGTGGCATTGCGGGATTAACCCTAGGGACTGGAGGTGTTTTTGTTTAGCTTTAGTGTTGGCTTCTTGTGGCATGTGAGCACTTCATTAACTCACCCAGAACTCCCCATTGATAGCTTTTGTTTGCTGTCAGCTCCTGCAGGAGCTGTGGCTGGGCCTGTCTGCCCCACTAAAGCTTGCCGCTAGATGCATTGTGCCTGTCAGGGGTGTAGAATCTGCACTGGGTAATGATTCCTAATCAGAATAATTACAACAATTGCCTATGTGAGGGAAATCAAATTAAAGACTTTAGAACCCTTGGCAGAGACCACACTTCTAGGATGTTCTCCTCAGGGAACTGGAAAAGGTTAAGTCACCGCTTCTTGTGCTTCAGCCTGAGGGAATTAAGAAGGGCAGTGCTTGGCCTCAGCTTGTCTCCCACCCACCCCCCTGCCCTGAGGGTTTTCAGTGGGGGTGAAGGTCCCCTTTGCACGTCTTTCTCTATAGGGGGAGGGGAGAAGAGGATCTCATTAGGTGCTTTGTTTATTTTTAAGGCCCATAAACACACAGCTCAGACTTTATCAAAGCAAAAGAGAAAGAAGAGTGTCTGAAGGAGTAGCAGGACACATCTGCATTGGAGGGAGGTAACCTAGAGGACATAGGGAAGAGGCAGGAGAAGGGCGCAAGATATCTTTGTTTAGGCGAGAAATCCTGTCCCATCGGGGAGAGAGATGTGGACTGAATTTCCTGGGGACCCTCAGGATGGAGCCAGGTTTAGGCTTATCTCAGTGGCAGAACGCACTCCCTGTCACTGGGAATGTGTTACCCCGGGCTCTGGTTGGGCAGGATTAGGGCACCTGCAATAGACTGGGAGAAGATAAGATGAGGTCTGTATCTCAGTGGCAGAACGCACTCCCTGTCACTGGGAATGTGTTACCCCAGGCTCTGGTTGGGCAGGATTAGGGCACCTGCAATAGACTGGGAGAAGATAAGATGAGGTCTGAGGTGCCTCTCGGCCCCATTGACTCTCTTTTTTAAATGGAGATTCAGTTCTATGACTGAGGCAGCTCCTCAGCATGGACTGCTCCCTGTAAGACCAGAGTAGAGGAGAAAGAGAGGACCCATACTTCCTTGTGTCCTATCCAGCATCCCCAGCCAGGACTTGGCCATTGAGGGAGGCCCGAGTACAGGCAGATTTCCCCTGGAACATCTGTGGCTGGGATCCTGGGAGGAGGATGCTTGCTCTGGGCCAGCACCAAATCAGGGCTGTTGAGGTTATGGGTTTTTTTCTCAGTGGCCCCAGTTGAGGGGGCAGATGTGGTCTTCAGGAGGCAACCCCCTGGCCAGTCCTGGAGCAGGATGCTCAGAGGATTCTGAGTCTCATTCAGCAAGCTACTTTCTGCTACTTCTGCATACTTTATGGGTGAGGAAGGAAGATTCCTGGCATCAGCCCGAATAGGGAGTTTCTGGCAGAACAAGGACACCAAACTGGGCTGCTCTTTGTCCCCATTAGCTCTGAGTCGGTTATAGAGCTGAAGAGAAAATTTCTTGTCCCAACCCAGGCCCTGAGAAGGCACTCAGCTAGATGTTTGTCTGACTCATTTGTTCTAAGTAATGCTCAAGCTGGGCCCCACTAGACAGACCTTCAGTAACTGGGAGGGCTGGCCCAGCTGATTGTGGTTGTCTTGGTTGTTCCTCTAACCCTTTATTCATTCAAGCAGAGAAGAAAAGGAAAAGGACAGGCCTGATTCCAAATGTAGTTATCACTTCTCTGGAGAGACTCATAGTAAAAAGTGCTTGCTAAATATATGCTGCATGAATGAATGGCCTGAGTCCTAAGCTTCCAAGGACCCCAATGAGTGTTAAGTGCTTCTCATGGTGAAGTCCTGGTCTTGCTGGGCATGGCCTCCTGACAGTTTTCCTTCTGAGCAGGAGTTGGTGCATTGGGGAGGCCCCCTAGCACATGAAGCGCTTACTTTGGGGATGTAAGGCCAGTGGGGTTATGCTAATTTAGGAAGCTCCAGGTTCATCTTACTTCTTTTTTTGTGTAAAGTTTGCCTTATTTCCTTCAGGTGACCCTGAGGAAAGTATTCATGTGTGTGTGTTGTACATGTGAAACTAAGGGGTTGTGCCAAAGTGAATGGGAAGACAGACCATTCAGCAGTGGAAAGTCCGGAATTTAGCTGCTGGGGAGATTCTTGGGCTGAGGAGGACTACGTACAGACTGTGAAGACGGTTTAGAGACCACATGGTCTGCATAGTCTGGCACTAGGGAGTAGTTCTGATATTCCAGGGGTAGGATTGCCATAGCCATGGAATAAATAGGATCCTTAGCCTTACTCAAGGACTGCTTTATCATGGACCAGGCCTCCAGCATCTCAGAGGTGTTCAGGGAGGCAGGCTACACATTCTAGAAGTAATCTTACTTAAAGATATCCATGGGATCTCCATTGCCTGCCGAGCACACAAGGCCTTTCACGGTCTGGCTTAACCTACGCCCCAGCCTCATTTCTTGTCCCTCCTTTCTATATGCTGTGGACTTTGGTCATACTAACTTTTACCTACTGATGTTTTCACTATATCAGCAAATGTCTATTGAGTAGACACTGCTGGGTTAGGGATTCGGGTAGTAAATAAGACAGAGTTCCTGCCTCATGGTGCTTATAGACTGGTAGGGAAGGCAGATATTAGACAGTTTATTGCTCCTCAAACACAAAATTGTTGTACCTGTACCTTTGCCTCTGTAGTATCCTCTTCTGTGTTCCTCCATGTCAAGCAGTGGTGTGATCTGTTCTACTTCCTCTCTATGCCTTAGGATCTTCTGAAACACAGGCAGTGCTTCACGAATTCTTTATGATTCTCTTGTTATATACTGACGTTAGTACTTGGACTTCCAGTGTGAGTGCAAATAATAAAACCAATCAAAGGGATGAAGGGAAAGAAAGACATAAAGTATATTAGGAGCAGTTTCTTTCCCTGTGTAGGAATTGAGCTCAACTTTGAAATATTTTGCTGAATTTGAATCCTCAACCAGGAAGAGGAGAAATACGATGTCATGGGCTAGTTTATGAGCTTTTAGCGACCAGAGTAGCAGTGATATCCCAGGTGTCAGGGCTCTAACCCAGCAAAGGTGCCTCTTCTGAAAGTGAAATTTTTCTTCATTTTTATTTGGTGAATAACCAAATTCATAAATTTGGCTAACAAACATTTGGTGGAAGGGTAAAATGAATAAATGAATGAATGAAGCTGTGGATTGGAGTCCCTGCTTGTAGTCTCTTTCCAGCCTGCTTTCAAGACCCAGGACAGCCAGTGTCTGTGCTGGGTTATGCCTTTTTTCTAAGGACCGATAAGAGGAACAAACAGGTCAGAGTAAGGTATTGGGACTGACGTGCTGGGATCTGGGGCAGGCTGCCAGACAGTGGAGGAGTAGAAAGCTTCCCTCCCCTGACACGCTTGGGTGGGTGGGATCTTCCTAAGGGTCATCCTCCAAGTGCCTCCATAGTTCTGAGCCAAGGCTGAGAGCCCAGAGTGGAGCCATGGCTGGATAAGATTACAATTTCCTCCTGCACTGATTACAAGCAGCTTATCTACGTTTCACTGTTGTGGCTCTTCACAAGCTCAGGGAACAAAAAGAGGAAAATCTCATCTGTTCTTGTGTACTTTTCAGAGGGTCGATGAGTGGATGGCGAAGGAAGGCCTCTTAGATCCAAACGTCAAGTCAATTTTTGTCACCTGTGGAGACTGGGACTTAAAAGTCATGTGAGTATGAGAAGGGCTACTTTGCTGGCAGAGCTTGGAATCTGTGGGACCAGGTCTTGCCTTTTGGAACTTAAATGTTCAAGCCCACAGGGCAGCTGGGTCAGGGATTCCCTGGATCTTTGGGGCTACAAGGGCTACAGGAGGGTTGGGAGTCCTGCCTTCTGCCTTTCTGGAGCAGAGTGTAGGCCAGTCAAGGGCCCTATCTGGACTGCTGTTGTTGGGGCTTTCCTGCCTTTGCCAAGTGTCACTGATCATGATAGCCCTTTCAATTTCTGGGCTACATGTTTGTGCCCTGGAAGGAAGGAGTTAAAAGGATCTTGAAAACAAAAAAATTTTTTAACAAGATACATAGTGTTTACTATTCTAAGTGCTGTGGAAATAGTAACTAATTTATCAACCCTATAAAGTAGGTATTATTATTATTCCTATTTTGTAGCTGAGGAAATTAAGGCACAGAGAGGTTAAGTAACTTGCCCAAGGACACACACAGTCAGGATTTAAACCCAAGCAACCTGGCTTTAACTGTTATACTATGTGACCCTTTTATCTGGCCTGCAAGACCCTGCAAGATCCAACTGAGAGTCCAGTGGTAGGATGAGAGAGGGCTGCTTCTAGGAAGCTGCTCAAGTCACCAGTCTCCTCTTTCCCAGTCCCTACTATGTTTTCTCCTTTGTCTCTTGATCCTGACCTGGTTATGGAAGACAGAACTGGTTCCTTTTCTGGGCTGACACTTCTGCATTTTGTCTGTCCTCATGGATACCTGGCTTCAGACAGCCCCCAGGGAACTAAAGGGGGTTGGAGGTGGTGGGGGCATTGTTTGCTGAGGATTGATAGAATCGATACCTCCGTGTTCTTTGTGACTGAAGGCAGCAGCAGGCATTCTGCGTGTGTGTGTGTGTGTGTGTGTGTGTGTTTGAACTTTTGAGCATAATGTGTGTGTGTGTGTGTGTGTGAACTTTTGAGCATAATAAGATGGGGTGTTGGTGAGGGGTGGGGAATAGTGGCTCTAGAGTGACATTTAGTACCAAAACAGGCATTATCTTCTCACCAATGTCCTTTTATGCCTTTTGGATGCTGTGTATTGAGGTGAAGTTATGCACCCAGGTGGTTATCAAGCCTGCTAATGGACCCTAACTCTCTAGGCAAGACGGGAGGAAGAACAAGCCCCAGATCACATAAGTACACAAGTACCTCATCTCCCACACCCTTTAGGTTGTGTACACACACTGACTGCACATCTCTAGGTTTGCTCCAGAGTCTCTGTACTCCCAGATGACACTCATTTGTTAGGGAAATTATACAGGCTGGGACTGGAAGCAAATAGGAATCGGCGGAGGAGTCCATGGAGAAGGTGAGGTAGAGAAAGGCTTGTTCTTGTTTCTGGTGTGCTGGCAGCTTTAAGCCCTTGAATCTGAGAAGGGACTTACATGGAGCTCTGTAGCCCAGGAGAAACTGTTCAAGGTGGGGCAAGATTCAGGATGACAAACCCAGGCAACCTGGCTTTAACTGTTATACTATGTGACCCTTTTATCTGGCCTGCAAGACCTTGGTGAAGCAACTGAGAGCCCAGTGGTGGGATGAGAGAGAGCTGCTTCTAGGAAGCTGCTCAAGTCACCAGTCTCCTTTTACTTCCTTTGTCCCTACTGTGTTTTCTCCTTTGTTTCCTGATCCTGCCCTGGTTACGGAAGACAGAACTGGTTCCTTCTGCGCTCATGTGCCCCAGGAGCAGGGCTCTTTGCCCCAGTCCAGAGTTCCCGTTCTTCCAGTGTTTTTCTCTCTTTGGTGTACTCATCTTCTAAACGTCGCATTTCAGAACCTTCTGCTGTAACTGTGCATGGTGTGTACATATATGTATATAGGAAAACTTGCCTGTACATGAGGTTGGAGACTATTGGCTGGGTCTCCTAAGTTTGGAGTTGATCTCCTCCTGAGATGGATAGGGAATGTCAGAGGGCATTGTCTTCTTTGGGTCTGGCCTATTCTGGCCCTTGGGCCTTGCACTGTACAAGTGGCCCCTGGACAGATATTGGGGACTTACACGACTGCTTTGCATCTTCACAAGATATAAGGTCATCAAGAAGAGGGATTGGGTTATGCAATCCAAATAAATATAAAAGGAACCTAAGTTTTAATGAGCAGATATCATCTCTTTCAGTCCTAACTACCATCTCTGACTGGAGGTGGTGTCTCCCTTTTATAGATGAGAAAAACAAAACAAAACAAACTAAACAAAAAACCCCTGAGGTTCAGAGAGGTAAAGACTTGTAGCGAGACAGAATTGAATTCTAAGACCACATAGTTTCCAAAAGAGATGGGTAGGGCTGACTGCGGTGGCTGGTTTGGGTTTGAACTGGGAAGGTCAGTGAAGCTCTGGAAAAGGGAAGTGCAGGAAGGAAGCAGGTGGCAAGGCTTGGGGGAGGAGAGCTCTGTGGCTGCCTTTTAGAAGCAGGCCTCCGCATAACTGCTGGGAAGGCTCTTAATTAAATGTGTAACATAATAAAAACAGTCAGAGGAAGCCTAAGTAGTGCTGCGTGACAGTGCACAGCTTATCGGCATTCCTCGAACCTCTCGTCAGAGGCTCGTCATAGCTATTGCCTTTTTCTGTGCCTGGTAAAGGCTGCTGATGAGCCTGACAAGGGTGGTGTTAAGTTGACACTCACAACTTGTTAGTATGTGGCTTACTTCTTATTTTGACATCCATTTTCAGATTTAACTAAGTCTGAGGAATTCAGCAAATATTTTCATTTCACACTCTGGTTTCTGGGAGCCATGGCTTCTTCTCATTGCTGTCTTTACCCCTCTACCCCCAAAACCAGCTTCACATCACTCTTATTGGAAAGGGCCTGATTAGTGAGGCACTGAGAAATGGGAGTTGAAGCGGCAGCCGAAATCCCACTGGAGAAAAGAAATCTCACAAAATCATTTCGTGTCCATCTTTTGTCAAAGCCAGATGAGTTGATATTCAGGTTTACATGGGCTTTGATGCTGTGGTCACAGATCCTGCTAAGGTGGGCTTTTAATTTAGTAGGTGCAGAATTAATTTTTCCTCTAAAGTTTTTCAAGAAATGCTTGTTAGGGGTTTGGCCCTTGGTCAGCTTGCCTTCCCTTCCTGGCCTGCCTTTCCTTTGCCTTACTTAGTGTTTCTTGATGCTTCCATTGGGTTTAGTGTTGTTTCTCTGCTCACCCAAGTAGGGATTGTCTCTTTCATCAGGTTCCATCTTAGGCATGGTGGGAGGGTAGGGCTGGTGTAGAATGAGGAGTGACACTTCTACCTTGAGAGCTTGTTTGGAGGTTCTAGCAGGGGAGCGCAGCTACTTGTATGTCCTTGACCAAAGAATGGTCCTCTCCTCTATTGGGGAAGGTCATTCTCTTCGACCGAGCGTGCAGCTTCGGGTGGGACGCACATGGAGTGGTGAAGGAGGAAGGGGACACCCACCTAGTCAGCCAGATCAGCCGAATCAACCCTGGCGATCAGTGGGGTGACAGATGTCACAGCCAGATCGCCCTCGCATCCAGGAGTGACACTTCTACAAGTGCTCACTTGAGGAACTTAGATTTTAGTCTGTAGCTAGAAGATCCAGGTCACCAGGTGAGAAGCACAGCATGGCTGAGAAGCTAGACCAGAGGCTTTCTCAGTGGGCTTTGGGTCTGAGAAGATGGGCAGATCAGGAAGAGGGAAAGAGCTGGCCTGAGGAAGATTCTGGCCCTTGGTGCAGTCTGGGAAGAGGCCCAGTCTGGAGAGGGTCAGAATAATCAGATGCTGCATTCTGTTGGAGGAGGGGCCAGGGGCATGCTCAAAGTCTATTGAGAGGTCCCTCATCTAGGTTCAGCCTCAGCTTTGGAATGGGAAGTTTTCCTCCCACTGGAGGTTGAACATTTAAATGCTGGGCTGGCATTTGGTTTCAGTTTTTTCCCTGCTTTTCTGGTGTGGTGTGCATACTGCACCCCTCTGCCTGTGCTCTGCAGGTGTGGACCTGGAGCACTTCAGGTTTTTGAAAGTTTGGAGATCAAAAGATACTTGCCCATAGTGCACTGCTCACTGTTGGAGTTGGGGAGCATGCACTCAGCAGGGACTACTGAGGGTTCCCTCAGGGCTGCAGTCAGGCAGTCAAGACCATTGAAGGGTGAGACTGCTGTTACCTGGAGTGAAAGGTGCAGTGATAGAACCACACACCTGGAGAGCATTGTGGGGTAATGACTATCCTATGGGGGTGTGGAAGGTGGCTGAAAGGGTGGGCCAGGGACATGCTTGCTGTGGGTCAGGCTGGGCCCTGTTGGCATCATTCAAGAGTTGACCATTTCATCCTTCTTGAAATACTCTGTATCTTCACTTTTGTTGTGTCTTCTGTTTCTCTGACTTCTCTTTCTCAACCGCTTTTGCAGATACTTCTTTCATTACTTTTTTCTTAATTGCTGGTGTTTCTTAAATATTGGTATTTCTTTTATCTCTGTCCTAGCTGTCTTTTCTTTTTAATTCACACACTCACACTTACCAGACTGATCTCACCTTTTGCCATAGCTTCAACTATTCTCTGTATGCTGATGTCTTCTAATATTTTTCTCCAACTGAGAAATGGGAACTCTTTTAGAAATCTGTTCTGTCTGCACCTGAACTCCAAGCCTTCATATCCACCTACCTATTCTACACCTCCACTTAGATGTCCACAGGACCCTCAAAGCTCAGGTGTTATCTTTCTTACCATACCCTGTCCTCTAGCATTCCCTCAAATAATGACTGGTACCGTCTGCTCAGTTGTTCTGTCAGAAACCTGAGAATCATTCTTTCTCTAGCCACAACCAGTTAATTGTCAAATCCTGTTGATTCTGCCTCCCAGAGGTTTCTCAAATTCAATCCCTTCTTTCCGTCGCCACTGCCCCTGCTTTAGTTAAAATGATCATGTTCTTCTTGGATTACTACAAAAGCCTTCTAACTAGTCTCTTAGACTCCAGTCTTGCTGCTTCTATTCCATTTTTCTAATTGCAGCAGATTGTCACATCTC